TATATGTTCATTAGAATATAATACAATGTACATTATAATACAGTAAAATGTACATTTTCATATACATACATGATCATTTATACCAAATGTACGTTTACTAAATGAATAATGTTCTTTAATATTATCATGTTTTTTACTAATATTACAAATGTTCTTTAGATTTACAAAAAAACGTATAAAACTGGATGTTCTTTATAAAATAGCTATATGTTCTTTACAAAACAACTATATGTTCTTTACTGAATAGCTAAATGTTCATTCCATCTTTTTTTAAAGAATACTGGATGCACCAAGAATGGTGCATCCGCCTCCACAGAAAAAATTTCAACTCAAGAGTTGAGTCGTTGAGATGAAGTTCTGTTTTTATTCTTAGTGAATATCTCTATACCATAAAAATAAATAAAATGCACGTAAAGTAATAAAGATAAGTAAGTTTAAGTTTATTACCACTGGGCACTGGCCAATTACCAAGATTCCTACTTGGATAATCTCAAATCTCGAGAGCATGCATAATGATGTCTAATTGTCTATCCACTATATGAATACAATAACCAATCAAACAGCACATGAGTACGGATTATAATACTATTGGGTTATGTATACTACGTATATATATACTACGTATATATATACTTATTCTTTGTATATAATAGAGGCCCTCTATTATTAGAGGTTATGTTTACTACTTGTATAGTTGTATTGTTGTATATATTATCACGGGGGAATTTTAAATTTGACTATGGATCTTAAGTTCTTAAGTAGTGAAGTCTATACTAAAAAATTAATCTTAAGTTTGATGCTGGCCCAAATTATATGCCATTATTATAGATTCTAAATTTGGTTCATACTAGTATATTTCTTCAAAAAATAAATAAAAAATAATAAATAAAAAATAAATCATACATTAGTTTTAATAAATTGTTCTTGATATTCATCAAAAAATTACAGAGTACTACGTATTACTTCCTCTGTTCTTTTTTACTTGACTTGTTTCTTTTATCACGCTTGCCAATGCAAAACTTTAACGGTCAATAAGTTTAATTCTCCATAATTAAAAAATATTAAAGTTATATATTATAATAGTACTTATTGAGACGAATTCAAAATGATCAACATAAATATGTTTTTCCTTACATATTATTCACAAAACACGGTCAAAGGAGGGGTGGTGAATAGTGTAAAAGTCAAACCGGGTCAAGTAAAAAAAACGGAGGAAGTATTTAACTTATTGTTAGACCATTTTTTTTCCTTTTTTTTTATATTTGTTTGACTTGGACACAAGCCCAAATTACACTTGCCTTTAGGCCGAATGGGCTTAGTGTTAAGTCATGCGGCCCAAATTGTACTTGGCATTAGGACTACTAAGCTCTGTATTATTTACGAATCTGATTTTAGAATAAGAATGATGTTTGGCTCCAAAGGAGAAAACTGAATGGGTGAAACCGTCACCAATCACACTCTATGTAAGCAACGAGAGTAGTCAGAATCACACAATCAAACCACAACACTTTACATTTCCTTAAGCTTTCTTAGTTTCCTTAGTTAGCATTCTAGGCTTAAAATAGTAGCCTAAATAATATTGTAGTATATCTTAACGACAGTGATTGTATGCTGTACCCGTTCTTGGAGTAGTTGTAACAAACACGATTAACCAAGGAGGTAATTTTCCCTCCTTGTTATTAGCGATTTAGCAGGTTTTGATTTTGTACTGTAGCCTCAAGCTAAGGAAGGTACTTCCTCCGTTACATATTAGTCGCAACTTTGAATTTTTTTGTCTCATATATAATACTTCAAAGTTGCAACTATTATATAACGGAAGAAATAGAAGGGATAGAGAGTTGAATTATAGCAATAGATAGTGGTGGATGGTCCTTGAGGGAGAAGGGTTAGTGTGAGTGGGAATAGAATTTGGCTGAATGTATTGCTGGTCCATATGCATTTATAAAATAAACAATTGGAACTTTAGGAGGCTGAAGGAAGAACATTTTACTGATTTTGGTTGTCATAATCTAAAGATTAAATATCAAGGAAAAGAAATGGAAAGAATAAGTGACAAAAACATAAGAATTTAGACATTGTTGGTCCATTGATACTATAACACACTAAAATGTACCCCTTCTGTCACTTTCACATTTGAAATATTTTTGTAAGAGAAAAATGATCAAAACTTAAAGATTAAAAATGATTAAAATTGACAGTGGAAGTAACAGAACAAAAAGTTTCTAAGTAATAACATACTTTTTTTTTTTTTTTTAGTGTTCTCACCCGATTCACTCTCAAGGCTAAACCATATTTGAAGATTAATTATGAGTGGTTAGGTTTTAGTCCCAATTATTATTGAAGGGATCGAACATACAATTTTTCCTATTAAGTGAAATCTCAATCACCAATACACCAATAGCCAATAACTCAATAAGGTAGCAGTCCTTGTAATATTCCGCATTCCATGCATGTGTTTGTCCACATCCCTTAAATTACGTACTCTACCCCCTAGATCTTCTCCTTAACAATTTGACCACACGCATTTTACCAATCCAAATCAGTTTATACCTTGTTTGTAGGAATCTTCCTCAACCTCTCTTGACAATAATTTGGTCAATGATAGCAACTTTGTAATTTCTTCCTTTTTGACTCTTTCAATAGTTTTAAACCTTATACTCGTTTTTTTTTTTTTTTTTTTTTTTTTTTTGGAATAGCAAACCTTATACTCATTCTACGTTAGACTATTGGTTGTTTATTTGAATAAGATGAGTCTCTTGTCTGATCTAAAATATGGCAAACTAAACTCAACTAATTATGTTACATAAAAATATTTTCACCCATTAATTACGGAGTAACATTTTGAAGAAATAAATGAATGGAAACATGCTCAAATAGTGAACATACTCAAATAGAATTTGATACTTCCATGTTGCCTATATATATATGATGACCAAGTAATACGATTTTGGAATAGAAGCTTCCATTAATATGATTTTGGCTCGAGTTCTTTAAATTCATAGTGGGGTGTAATGTAGCAAAACTTTTGGAATCGAAACTCCCTTTAATCTGCCTTCTTCTTCCCTTTTACAAACTTCTTAGACAAGAATTAATTCGGTCCCAAATCAAACAATAGTGGATTTAGATATATATGATAGAATTTGATTCCTATAATAACATGGATTTGCAACTGGTTTAACAATCTTTCTTTGTCACAACTTTAATCAACCTACTCAAGTGGGTAATTAATTTAAAGAGCTTAAAAGAGACCTAAATAAGCTAATAAAAAAGGTTAGCAATAGGAGAATTTTTATTTGTATATATAATTTATACTTCATTTGTTTTTTAAATATCGCACCACTTACTTTTTAAAGAAGTTTTGCAAATATTACATCATATTTATTTTAGGAAACAAAATATTTGTATACACATTGTAAATACCCAGTATATCCTTACTTTTAACACTTGATTCTTTATTTCATGTTTAAATCACATGGATACTTTTGTACTTTTGCCCCTTTCTCTTTCTTCCTTTTTCCCACTACCAAAATCGGTGCACCCAACATGCATGATGCAATAATAAAAGAACGGAGGAATTATTTAAGATACAAGGCTAGAATACTTGGATAGTTCTCCGATTTCTAGACACAAGGTTCGAATCTCACCAAACTCGTTCTAAGTGAGATTATTATTATGATGATAATTATTATTATACCTTTAATCCGTCGTATATTATTAAATTGTTTTGAAACATAATATTTAAATAGTTGATTTGAATAAATGAGACACATGGTAGTTGAAGACTTGAGGTCGAGATGCTCAAATTATTAAATCAATATCTTATACCTATGCTACTTTTGTTCTATAATATAATAGTGTACCACTCGCTAAATCTCAGTGATTAACATCTTTTCGTTTTTTGATTTGTGATAATTCCATATCCTCTTCGGATAATTTTATTAAAGCAATATTCCGTACAAAAAAAAATGAGCACATAGTTTACAATAATTTGCACCTACTATATTTCAAAGTCAAATTAAACGACGGTCGGTGAACGATGTAAAAAAGTCAGGCTAAATATATTCTTTTTACCAATGCTATACGATCTATGCAACTTATTTTATTGAGCAATGCTATAAAAGTATTGAAAAAATAATTACATAGGCAATAATTGGAGCCATGTATTAATCGTAATTAAAAATATATGCAAAAGCTTATTGATAAATTTAATTATATTGTTTATGGACTAAATTTGGTGGTGAAGCATTATGATGATAAAAAAATTTGTTAATTTTTAACACACCAAAATGTATACTCGTAGGCGTCTTCCTTATAGTACTCGGGATACAAGCCTACAAGCGGGTATACCTTAAAGCAACTCGCTTTCCCATCAAGGTGTCTTACTTTAAAATTCAAGAAGATTTCATTTCAAAATTATATAGCAATAAGAAGAGTTAGTTACTCCCTTAATGTTATAAAATGAACACGGCTTTTACTTTTCTTCAATATGAAATACATGTCCTTATACTTCCTTTATTTTTTACATGAGAAGAACACTTTCACTCACATGTAAATTAGTTCATGAAATCAAAATATTCAATAGCAAGTCACCAACCTTAAAACATCTTAAACTATACATTGTATCATTTGTATGTAGTCCGAATGATAGATTTATGCCTAAATTTTCTTTAGTTAATAAATTAATATTATCCGGAGCCAAAAGAACCTGTAAGTGGTTACAATCCGATAGGACCCTTCTCCTTACGAACCAAAAAAAAATAAAAATAAATAAATAAAACGAGACGAGGATAAACTTTATTTTTATTTTTTATTTTTTTAAATAGAATAAAATGCTTTAATCAAGAGCCGCCCATGAAAATGTAACATATCTTGCATTATTTTACTAATGTGAAAATCGATTGCAACGCATGTGGCAACTTGGAATAAAATTTAACGACTTTTTACTATTTGTTTTAGTCTTCCTTCGTACTTGAAACCTTATATAAATACCCTATCCACGAAGCCATATTTGTATATCTTAGCTTCTCAATCATATTCTATTTTTCCTCTTACAAAAAAAATTTGAAGTTATTATTAACAAGGTACCATGGCAGCCACAACAAAGAGCGTAGTTGATGTAGATTATCTGAAGCAAATTGAGGGTGCTCGTAAAGATCTTCTTGATCTTCTTCAGAAGAACAAGAATTTTTCTCCCATTGTGCTTCGTTTAGCGTAATCATCAATCTTCTCTTTTCTCCCCTAAATTTCTTATAACATTGCATATATAGATGGATCTGATCTGTCCATTATTGCGTGGATGGATACCTACTAGATTAGTCGGATATAATTAAATCATAAAATGGTACCTCGTATATAACTGTATAAAAGTAGAAAATTGAAATTGTATTACAACTGCATGCATTATCATCAACTTATTTTGAGGTGCAGGTTTTCGACATTTGTTTAACTTAAACTCAAATAAACCAAGTCCTTTTTTTATTTACTAGTCCCTTTAATTTTTATATTTGGTAGAAAGTTACATGAACAATATACTGTATATAGTTTTGTGTCCATTTTCTCTCATACATAATATAAAGTAAACTGTTAAACATTGAGTTTATTTTTCCACGAGAAAAAGAATTGATGCCTTTGTCCCAAATCAAAGTACCAAGCAAGCTTGTCCCAAAGTTATCATTGTTTTCCCGTCAAAAAATAAAAGAAGTTATCATTATTCCGTATTATTTGTTTGATTTAAAAATATTAAACCTTTGCACACGCTCTTATTATTTTATAACTAGCTAGTACTTGTACAACCTTACTTAGTCACTTAGTCGTGTAAACGAAAATATAAAATATTTCAAAATAATTAATAAGCCCATATATTATAAGGTCCATCCTGAATTGGTTTTGGTGTGTAGATTTCATGATGCAGGAACTTATGACGCAAAAACAAAGACAGGAGGTCCAAATGGTTCGATTAGACGTGAGTTGAGCAACCCTCCTAACAACGGTATCAAAGTTGCTGTTGATTTTTGCGGTGAGTAGTCAAACATACTACGTACATAAAATTAACCATCTAAAATACTTTGCCTTGTTATTTCATTCCCTTCTCCTTCTGTGTGTATGTGTACACGTGTGTGGGTATGGACGCTCTGACCTTGTATTCTTATACTTCCTTCGTTTTTTTTATTATTGCACCATAAGGGTTTGGTATAAATATTTTGGTAGTGGAAAAAAGTGAGAGAGAGAAAGGTAAAAATACAAAATTGTCCATGTGACATATTGATAAATTAAAAAGTAAGTGTGAAAAAACAAGGGTATGTTGGGTATTTGTAGTGTAAACACAAATAATTTTTTTCCTAAAGAAGAAATGGTGCAATATTTGTGAAACTTCCTAAAAAGGCAAGTGGTGCAATAATAAAAGAACGGAGGAAGTATATACAACTTATTATTGACTTGTGGTTTTCTTAATATCTTACAGAGCAAGTGAAAGCTAAATACCCCAAGGTTACTTATGCTGACTTTTATCAGGTGAAATTTCTTTGGGATTGTATTACTTGTACATACAATAAATTAAAACTTGTTATTATCTCTCTCTGTTCATGGATGTTTGTCGTTTAAATTAGTAATTACGCGCATTTATATATAAATACTTGAATATAGTACAGTTAATTTAACTTATCATTGGTTACATTGTTGTTGATGTTAGCTTGCTGGTGTGCTTGCGGTTGAAGTAACCGGAGGTCCTAAAATCCCATTTATTCCCGGTCGTCCTGTAAGTGTTGCATGAAACTAACGTAGACTTTTAAAATGATTTTCTTGTAACTTTTCTTTTTATTTATCGATTTTGCTGGCTTTAATTAGAGTAATCTTTTTTTTTTTTGACAGATTTAATTAGTGTAATCTCACCCTACATTTTATTTTTGTGACTGTTTAAATAGGATTCTAGGGATCAACAAGACAGTGGTGCTCTTCCAAATCCCAATGGAGGTACATAACAATAATACTAGTTTAATCTTTAGGAAAATGCTATACATAGCCCTAAGGGCTACATATAAGCATTTAATTTACTCTTGAAAATTGTTTAAATTTAGGAAATCATGACAAAAACACCCTATTGGTAAAAATTTTATTTTATGATTACAAGATCATGGATCAAATTAAACCTTACTAATAATAGATGTTGATTCAATAGATTCATTCACCTTGTTGTTAAATTTAAATATAAATATAAGCTTGTGTATTATATTACGGACTATAAAATATGAGTATACATTTAGGTTATATGTTGAGCCCATGAGCAAATTAACATATGGTTGGAACTTGGAAGTGTCATCCCACATTAATCAAGTGCATGTAAAAGTAAGAGTGAGTATTAAAATATGCATCACTCATTAAATAAAAAAGAAAACTTTGTCCCCTTAATTAATTATAATGCTAAAAGGCTACTACCTTTATTGCCATATAATTTAATTTTGAGGTGGAAGCTCTTTTAACTTATAAAATTCACAATCCTAAAAGTTGTGGCCTAGGCCAATTTAATACTATACTCCCTCTGTACCCTAGTTGGTTTTTTTGTTTGCACAATAGATAATAATTTGGATTATTTGTGCAATTGATGATAAATTGGATAATTTGTTTTTCAGATGCCAAACATCTAAGAGACATATTTTACCGTATGGGTTTGAACGATAGAGATATTGTGGTCTTATCGGGTGCTCACACACTGGTACGCCAATAATAACCTCTACTTCTTCACTTCACGATCAACAATTAATCTACATACAAATTTAAAGTTGACGTACATATACTTTTAAAATGAGATCAATGAAGAGAACATTAAAATTACTAATTCAGGCAAGTTTAAACCTTTATTTTGTATGTACTTAACTTACAGGGTCGAGCAAACAATGATAGATCTGGCTTTGACGGTCCTTTCACAGAGGACCCTTTCAAATTCGACAATTCCTATTATGTGTAAGATTATACAAGAATTAGTTCCAATTATATATTGTACTTTTTTTAATTCTTTTATATTTAAGTTTTATTCATAAGATTTTAACTTAATTTATGGTTGATCAGAAACTTGAGGAAGGAAGACAAACCTGGACTGGTGAAATTTCCCACTGACAAAGTTCTCGTCGAGGACCCTGCTTTTAGCAAATATGTTCAACTGTATGCCAAGGTAACACATTCTCATAAAGAACATTAATTATGTATTGGGTGCACAATACGTGTTACATGTACTAGTTATGTACGTAGCATGTATTTTGAGACAGAGGAAGTTAGCTAGTATTATTTGTTTGAATCATGTATGAAAGGTTGTGAACACTAAAGTCCTGTTATTTTAAGCCGAGCTGAATTGAACTGAATTAAGTCTAAAAGAAAAAGACCTAATTATATAGGTATTACTTGTGAGTTTATGGATCTTTATTAGTAAATTTCCTGTGAAGATAGTTGATCAATATAGTATGATATATATATGGTAATTTATCAAATGAACTGATCAAGAGTAAATTTGTTTAACAATGGCAGGATGAACAAGCTTTCTTCGCACACTATGCTGAATCACACAAGAAGATGTCCGAGCTCGGGTTCCACCCACCCAGCACTGGTGTTAAAGCTTGAAGTCATTGCATATTCATGCATGATTACCTAATAATAAGCTAGACTGATATCAGTGATCTGATATGTATTATGGATCGATGTTCCTATATGTAGTACTATGGTTTATTGTATGTATCCTTAATTACTTGTGTTAGTTGATGTTGTATTTGAGATTTCAAGTTTGAATAATTCCTTTATGTTTTACTAGAATTCTGTACTACTACTACTATTTTATACTACGTATAAATGGTAGCATGTACTAGGATGTATTACTATTATTGAATGCTAATCATAACTTCTACTCCGTAATAAAGTAAAGTGTACATGTTTGAGATTTCGTTTTTTCTTAATTGCAATCGATTGGTGCAATCCCAACCTATTTGATCATCATTAATGAGGATAATGATTCCTCCACCTCTCTCTTTTCCTCATGTTACAAGTTACAAATACTTGTACTTATTTCATTTATAAACATCTTGTCTCTCACATCATCACCTCTAATTACTTGTGTTTTTCCTAACTTGACTTTTATCACCCCTTTTTTTTATATATTACCCCCAAGGCCCCAATCCAAGCATGACCTTAATATAGTATACAACATGGACATAGTTAAATGGAAGAGAATAAAGAAAAATCTACAAAAATAACAATAGCCAGCTTAACATTTTATCAAATCGTTTTTTTTTTTAATTATTATTATTTTATTTTTTTTTTCTTTTGTGTTTTTAACAATTTAAATCTTTCAATTGTTAATAAAAGGATACGACACTTAAATAATAGACACTATGGGTAGATTTATTTGATATGTCATCTTTTGATAGATAAGAAAGTTTGAGTCATAGAGCTGGGCATGGGCCAAACTGGCCCACAACAGAAGCCCGACACGACACAAGCCCGTTAGCGGCACGACGCAGCACCAGGAACGAGGGGTGGGCCTTGCCATGAACCAAAAAAACTTTTAGCACGAACCCAGTACAAGCCTGTGGCCGGCACGTTTTGGTCCGCCAACACGACCCATAATAATAAAAATAATTAAAAAAAACTATAAATCATAAAAATAAAAACAATAAAAATGAATATTATAAAAATATAAATAATAAAATAAAAATTAACAAGAATAATCCCAACTTTGCTCCATTTGCCCAAAATAATCCCAACTTTCGATTATTTTATAATAATTTGAACTTTGATAAGAATTTGCTTCTAATGGTCCCAACGGTCACATACATTTGACACGTGTCTGTACCTAATTGGTTAAAAAAAGTTTAATTTTTCAAAGAAAAATAAAAAAACTATAATGATTAATTAAAAAACCAGGTTAAAAAAATTTAAAATAAAAAAAAAAACCACCTCCCACTCCATTAACCAAACCACCTTCTCACCGCCCACCATGCTAGCCGAACCCCTGCCCCCTTATTCCGGCCGATCCCAGACCCCTTACCTACCGTGCCGATGTCCTGCCAAGTCGCCAAGACGCCAACCCCCTTCCCCACGAATTTTCAGTCCTGATCCGGTCGATCCCGGCTCGTTCCCTTCCCCCGTCCCGTTGATTCCGCCCCCATCCCCATCCCAATCATGATTTTGACTAAAGTTGTCAATTCGGGTAAACGAGTCGGGTAAGAGAGGGTCAGGTCAACTCGGGTCGGGTCAATTCAGATTAAACCCATAACCTATGCGGGTCGGGTTTAGGTTGGGTCATGCTTGAATCGGTTCACGTCGGGTCATACTTCTTATCAGGTTTGGGCCGGGTTTAGGTCAGGTTACATTTGAGTCGAGTGAACAATATTTCGGGTTTAATTCGGGTTTTCACGGGTTAAAACGGGTAGGGTAATTCTCAGGTTCGAGTTGGGTTCGGTTCAAGTCAATAATTTGCGGGTTAGACTCAGGTCAGGTCATTCTCGGGTTTGAGTCGGGTTCGGTTCAAGTCAATAATTTGCAGGTTATAATCAGTTCGGGTCATTCTCGGGTTCAAGTCGGGTTCGGTTCAAGTCAATAATTTGCGGGTTATAATCAGGTTGGGTCATTTCCAAGTCAGGTCATTCTCAGTGTCAAGTCGGGTTATGTTCAAGTCAATAATATGCAGGTTACAATCAGGTCGGGTCATTTCCAAGTCAGGTCATATTCGGTTCAAGTAAACATAAATATATTATTATCATTTTTATCAAGATAATTATTTCTTTTAATTATAATATATATGGCAATATAGTAGGGAAGTATAGTTTATAATTTAGGAAGATAATTATCTCCTTAATTTGACCATACAACAAATATATACTATATTTAAATCCTAAATTTGAGGGTGATGCTCCTTTCTTTTGTTGGCCTGGACCGACTTGGTCTCCCTAGACAAAATGCTTTGATCAACAACAATAAGGTGGTCTAAATTGCATTTAAGGGGATTTGAAATCGGGACAGGAACAATTTGGGTTGAATTTAGGTCGGGTCAATAACAAGTCGTGTTAATTTCGGGTCGGGTTAGTAACAGGTCAGGTTGAACTTTTGGGTTGGTAAAATTCGGGTCGGGTTAATAACAAGTCGGGTTGAATTCGGGTCAGGTCAATAATAAGTCAGGTTGATTTCGGATCGGGTTTGTAACAGGTTGGGTTAAATTCGAGTCGGGTTGAATTCAGGTCAGGTTAGGGACAAGTCGAGTTAAATTCGGGTTTTGATGGGATAAAACGGGTTTGGGTCAATTTCGGTTCAAGTCAGGTTCGGTGCAAGTTAATTAAATTGGTCGTTGTAAATCGGTAAATCGGTGCAAGTTGTAAACCAGTAAATTGGCCGTTTAAAAGAAAATTGAATGATTCCACACTCCCAATTGGACTCCCGGAGAGTATTAGGAACCACGGTAAAAATTTTGGCAATTTTTATTTGCGGGCGAAAAAAAAGTCAAAAAAAAATCCAAAATTAAAGGCTAATATCCACGCTTTTTGAGAAATTTTGGAGGTTTTAAGGCCCGGTGTCGAAAAGTCTTGAAATTCTATGGGATACATCTCGGGGTCATATAATGCCGTTTGGAACCATATATGATCATTATCTGTAGTCATAAATGTTCGTGATAGGCTTGAGTTAATGAAATCGGTGTAAGTTGTAAACCGATAAATTGGTCGTTTAAAGGAAATTTGGATGGTTCCACCCACCCAATTGGACTCCCGGAGGGTATTAGGGACCATGGTAAACATTTCGGCAATTTTTATTTCTGGGCAAAAAAAGTCAAAAAAATTCAAAAATTAAAGGCTAATATCCATGTTTTTTTTAGAAATTTCAAAAATTTCGGGGCCCGTTGTCGAAAAGAAATGAGATTATAGGGGATACATATCGGGATCATATAATGCCGTTTGGAACCATAAATGATCATTATATATTGTCACAAATGTTCGTAGTAGGCTTGAGTTAATGAAATCGGTGCTAGTTATAAACCGGCAAATTGGCCGTTTAAAGGCAAATTGGATGGTTCTACCCACCCAATTGGACTCTCGGATGGTATTAGGGACCATGGTATACATTTCGGCAATTTTTAATTTGGGGCGAAAAAAAGTCGAAAAATTCCAAAATTGAAATCCACGTTTTTTGAGAAATTTGGGATTTTTCGAGGCCCAGTGTAAAAAAGTTTTGATATTTAAGGGGATATATCTCGGGGTCATATGATTTCGTTTGGAACCATATATGATCATTATATGTTGCCATAATTGTTCGTAGTAGGCTTGAGTTAATTTAATCGGTGCAAATTGTAAAACTGTAAATTAGCCGTTTAAAGGCAAATAGAAGTTTCACCCACCCAATTGGACTCCCGGAGGGTATTAGGGACCATGGTAAACATTTCAAAAAAATTTATTTCCGGGCAAAGATAAGTAAAAAAATATCAAAATTGAAGGCTAATATCCACGCTTTTTGACAAATTGTCGAGGTTTCGGGGTCCGGTGTCGAAAAGCCTTTAGATTTAAGTAGATACATTTTGGGGGCATATAATGCCGTTTGGAACCATATATGATCATTATATGTTGTCATAAATGTTTGTGGTAGACTTTAGTTAATGAAATTGGCGCAAGTTGTAAACCGATAAATTGGCCGTTTAAAGGCAAATTGGATGGTTCCACTCACCCAATTGGACTCCCGGAGAGTATTAGAGACCATGATAAACATTTCAGCATTTTTTTTTATTTCCGGGCAAAAAAAGTAAAAAAAAAAAAAAAAAAAAAAAAAATCAAAAATGGAAGACTATATCCACGCTTTGAGATTTTTTGGAGTCTACAAGGCCCGGTGTCGAAAAGTCTTGAAATTCTAGGGAATTCATTTCGGGGCCATATAATGTCGTTTGAAACCATATATGATCATTAGTTGTCATAAATGTTCGTGGTAGGCTTGAATTAATGAAATCGGTATAAATTGTGAACCGGTAAATTGGTCGTTTAAAGGCAAATTGGATGGTTCCACCCGCCCAATTGGACTCCCGGAGGGTATTTGGGACCATGGTAAACATTTCGACAATTTTAATATCCGGCGAAAAAAATTCAAGAAATTCCAAAATTGAAGGCTAATATCCACGATTTTTAAGAAATTTCGAATGTTTTGAGGATCGGTGTTGTAAAGCATTGAGATTTTAGGGGATACATTTCGGGGGTCATATAATTCCGTTTGGATCCATATATGATCATTATATGTTGTTATAAATATTCGTGGTAATCTTGAGTTAATGAAATCGGTGCAAGTTGTAAACCGGTAAATTTGTCGTTTAAAGACAAATTGGATGATTCCACCCAGCCAATTGGACTCCCGGAGGGTATTAGGGACCATGGTAATTATTTCGGCAATTTTTATTTTTGGGTGAATAAAAGTAAAAAAAAAATTCCAAAATTAAAGGCTAATATCCACGCTTTTTGAGAAATTTTGGAGGTTTCGGGTAGAGCTGTCAATTCGGGTAAACGGGTTGGGTTTGGGTCGGTAAGAGTGGGTCGGTTCAATTCTGATTAATTCCATAACCTATGCGGGTCGGGTTTGGGTTAGGTCATGCTTGAGTTGGGTCACGTCGGGTCATACTTCTTATTGGATTTGGGTCGAGTTAAGGTCAGGTTAATATCAGGTCGGGTTACATTAGGGTCGAGTGAACAATAGGTCGGGTTTAATTCGGTTTTTCACGGGTTAGGGTAATTCTCGGATTCAATTCGAGTCGGGTTCGGTTCAAGTCAATAATTTGCAGGTTAGAATCAGGTCGGGTCATTCTCGGGTTTGAGGCGGGTTCGATTCATGTCAATAATTTGCGGGTTATAATCAGGTCAGGTCATTTTCAAGTCGGGTCATTCTCGAGTTCAAGTCGGGTTTGGTTCAAGTCAATAATTTGCGGGTTATAATCAGGTTGGGGCATATCCAAGTCGGGTCATTCTCGGAGTCAAGTCGGGTTATGTTCAAGTCAATAATATGCAGGTTACAATCAGGTTGGGTCATTTCCAAGTCAGGTCATATTCGGGTTCAACTAAATATAAATAGATTATTATCATTTTTATCAAGCTAATTATTTCCTTTGACTATAATATATATGGAAATATACTAGGGAACTATAGTTTATAATATAGAAAGATAATTATTATCCCCTTTGACCATATAATAAACATATACTATATTAACTCTTAAATTTGAGGATTAAACATACTTCCTCCGTTTTTCTTTTATTGCACCATAAGGACTTTTACACTATTCACTTAATTTCTTTGATCATAATTTGTGATTTATCCATTAGGAAAAACATAGTCATGTGGGATCTAGTTAGATTCGTCTCAAAATTTACTTTTCAAATATCAATTTTTTACAATTTTTAAAAAGTAAAGTTGAAGATATTAATAGCTAAAGTAATGCATTGGGAAGTGTGAAATCCCTCATGGTGCAATCAAAAAAGAACAGAGGAAGTATACTATATTAACTCTTAAATTTGAGGATGATGTTCCTTTCTTATGCTGGCCTGGACCGACTTGGTCTCCCTAGACAAAATGCTTTGATCAACAATAATAAGGTGGTTAAAATTGCATTTAAGGTGATTTGAAATCGGGTCAGGATCAATTTGGGTTGAATTTAGGTCGGGTCGAAAACAAGTCATGTTAATTTCGAGTCGGGTTAGTATCAGGTCAGGTTGAATTTTTGGGTTGGTAAAATTCGGGTCGAGTCAATAACAAGTCGGGTTAAATTTGGGTCAGGACAATAATAAGCACTACAAGAAAAACAATTTTAGGCAACAAAAATTATCGTCGCCCTAACTTGGTTATTCGTCGCCCATTAGTTTGGGCAACGAACTTCAACTCGTCGTGGGCTCGTCGCCATAGGGTCGACGCCCATTCATGTTTGGGCGACGTGCTTTCATTTAGTTGCACAAAGCAGGGTATGGGCGTCAGATTATGTTGTTGCCGAAGTTATACCTTTGTGCTATGAATCTTGCTTGTCGTTGCCTTTGTTATTGCTTTTTGGGCAACGACTACAGTATTTCGTCGCCCAAACGTTAAATTGTGACATGGCATACATAGATATGGGCAATAATTATGTCGTCGCCCAAACAAATTTGTGCAACGACTTATTATATCTTTTGCCCAATTTTAAAATACAGCGCCAATTTTAAATCTGAATATTCATTGAATTTTATCCTAAATTTTTTAATGGGCAACGATTTATGTTTGATTATGTTGTTGCCTAAATCATTGCATGGGCAACAAGTTATGTGTGACTTTACTGTTGTTGTCTTACTAATTTTTTACCATTCTCCTGCACTCTTTCATATATATAATATATATCAATACAGTATTCATTGGACAATAGTACATAATAGCTCACAATTTCAATACAATTGCCTTTCATAGTTCATAAAAACTGAAAGATCATCAAAAAGTACTACGACTTTCTCCAAGTTCAACTGATGGTCCAAAGGTAATCAAAATTACAACTAAATTTAAAATTTTCTACTAAGAAACAAGTACTATGATCGCAATAAGTTAAATTTATCAATCCCAAGAAATTACTACCTGTAATAAGAGAAAATATATTCAAAATATACATCATATTCCTTGGCTTGTCATGAAAATATCACGATCATTTTTTCCTGTAAAACAATATTCCAAAATTAGATACACGATTTAAAAAGATACAATAAAATAGAATTAAAGCTACAAAATATTGCTTCTTTCACCACATAAAAGGGAGGTCATATTTTTACATATCTTTACAAAAATCTTGATAAATGCATTTTGAAATAATATAAACTCACAATTGTGAAATTTAGGGGCAATCACCTCTCCATGTATCAAGTCATAATTAGCATTTTTTTTTTCTAATGAACGCTAAATGGTTTGATATGTAATGCATGTTTGTTCTTTGTCAATTAGAGAAATTTGACATTAATAATAATGTATGCTTCCATCACTTGCAATGTAAATCATCTACATATCAGATATACACACATCAAGCTTAGTGAATACACTGCTGCACGTGGAAAAAGCTCCTAAAACTATTGCAGCTGAGTTGTGGCAGCAGTGCAGCAGCAACAGCAGCGCGTTGTGGCAGCAGTGCAGTAGCAACAGCAGCGTTGCTGCAGCACTGCAGCAGCAACAGCAGCGTTGCGGCAGCACCACAGCAACAACTGCTGCATTGCGTTCCTTCCACAGACAGTTGTGTTGCGGCAGCCCCACATCGTTGCAGAAGCATTGCAGCAACATCGAGTAGCGTTGAGGCAGCAACCCAAATTTGATCACAGTACATATAAACCAGAAACAGTTAAGTCTCCTATACGGAAGACAATGCAACCCAAATTTGATCACAGTACATTATGATCTAACTTTATAACTCATTGGCCTAAATAAATTAAATCATTTGTGAAAAAATTGCATACCTCATTTCCTCAAACATTTTTAGCATATCTTCTCTTAGTTTATTTTCACGTTCAATGGCTTCCTTGTTCATTCTTGAAAATTCTGCTTTGAGCTCCTCATTTGATGCTTTAAGTTGTTCATTAGATGCTCTGAGCTCTTCATTTGACGCACTTAGTGTGTGAACTTGAGTAGAGAGTTGAACCCTATCCATATCATCTCCTTGGATTCTAACTTTTGTAGGTGGTCGAGCTCCAGGAACAAGTCCTCTCACATATCCAGATTTAGGTTTTAATACCTTCATATAAGCATCTTTTACACTCAGTGTGTCCTCACCATGTTCTGCGATTTCAGTTTCGTGAAGCCTTTTGAGTTCTTCATAGTTCTTTTCAGCATTTGGTTCCCAAATAGTACTTCCATCCTTTTTTATATGCCTATTCAATGAAATCATCCTAAAAAATTATGCATATTAAGTATGAGATAAGGCTAATGTAGGCATAACTATTTAAATAGTAACATGAAAGACAGAACAACAATAATATTCCTGGGCAATTTCCTTGTAATCTCGCATACTTTTTTGTCTTCTCATCATATAATCTCACATAGATGGGATCTTGTTGCAGTTCAGCATGTTCAGATGACCCTTCGACTTGATTGGCAACAATTTGTGTCTCGTTAATCTACGTATGAAAAAAATACACACCATATCATAGAATTTACAATAAATAATGTCTAACTTGTACGTTTTGTAGTAAAAGGCCAAAACTACACATCATATCATAGAAAATTCTTGCTGTGGACTTTGCACCATTAGCCGGTGTTTCAGTTAACTTCAGTTTATTTGCTGTGGTCACTTTGCTAATGGCCTACAAGTTGAGCCGGCAAGTTAATGTAGTATAATTGCAAAAATATTTAGCATATTAGCAATAAATTAAACAAAGGAAGCACATTACCTCTTGTTTTGGGGAACTCCAATACTCATAAACCAACCAATCCCACTGTATTGGATCAATAGTAGAAGGTCTATTGTCTCTAGCCTCTGCCTTTGTTTTGCCTCTATAGTATTTTTCTTTGAGTCTAAACCTCCAATGTCTATATAATATAGAACATTGAAAGCTCAATGCATCAGTCGCGTCCGAACCACCAATCTTTTCAGGTAAATTGTATTTTGCCCAGTAAATCATCAAGTTAAATATAAAAATAAATCTGACAGAACATATCATTATTAATAAAATTAAATCTGACAGAACATATCATTATTAAGCTAATTTACAGGAAGTACAACAAGGCTGTGGGGTGTGGTCAGGCAGGGGGACTGACTTCCCGAAGCAGCTGGCTTCGCCCACCTGAAGGTTGCTTGAAGGTAAACACTGATGCAGCTATAATTATAGGGTATGGGGTGGGCCTTGGTGCTGTTATACGTGATGATAGGGGGCGTTTGATTGCTGTTGCAGTGAAGAGATATCAAGGTGATTTTTCTGTCAAGCTGGCCGAGGCCCTTGCTGCTAGGATGGGGCTGTTATTAGCTAAGTCTCTATCCCTTACTAAAGTCGAGTTGGAAGGGGATGCAAGTGCTGTTATTACTGCTGTTAAGCAACAGAAAGTTGGCAGATCAACATAAGGTAATGTTGTTGCACATTATGCTGCTATGATCCCTCCCCCTAGTGGGTCGGAGTTTGTTTTTCTTGACTCTTTTCCCCAAGGAATATTAGCCTTGGCGGATGTTGATTTGGTTTGATTAATAATATTCCCGACTTGCTTTAAAAAAAAAGCTAATTTATCTAACTATATATAACTTTTATAATTGAATTATATATACTTTAACTCACCAAAATCTTGTCATATAAACTTTTCTTCGCATCAGGGTCCATTTTAGCCCAATTCCTGTGACAAAAAGAAAATATTTAAATCATAATCATCCACATACACATTAAGAAATGGAAATGATAAAAGGTAATTTTATCAAGTGTAATAGGCATACAATGCATTCAAAGGACAAAACTCTTCAACCCAATTGCTACAATCACATATGAACTCATTTGCCTTTTCACCAACCACACGTCGAAGCTCATCCATAAAAGTTAACGTAATATTTTCTTCTGGATTTCTTGCTCTTTTGGAAGCATATTTTAAACCCCTAGTAGGGCCACGCCTCTTACGATCAGGGAATTTTTGTCGAAGCTCAGCTTGGTCAATCCTTCGCTTTTCACGATAAGTCAACCTTGGTGGTGGTTGTTGAATCTCATTTTCTTGTTGATCTTGTTCTGATGAAGTTGGAATGATTGACATTTTCCTATAAAAAAATCAATAATTAAATAAATTATGAGCAACATTAAATGAGATGGTTCTGCATTCAGAGCAACATAAAATGTAGTTCAAAAGAAGTGACTTATGAGCATGAAACTAACTGGTAACATTGTAGGGATCATTTCCTCAAAGATAACAAGCACAAATCATGAAAAAAGTTGTTAGGAAACATGGTTTATACTTGTCTATATGCATACTATTATGTGAGTTAATGAATACTGCCTTGCAAAAATAAAAAATTTGGCCAATAAACAAGCAATATTCATGTTAACTCACTGAAAGAGCATTTTAATTCCCACATGTTAAGCTAGAATTGAGGAGAAAACACATATTACCTACTGTTGATCAGAGTACCAGCCCCTTTATACCTTGCAAAAACCAACCAGTTAGTTAACTAAAACAAACTCCTTAATTAGCCACTTCTTCACCTATATCGAATTCAATATATACTATTTAGAATCACCAAGCTCATTGCTTAAATCTTTTATCATCCATTAGCATAAGTGAACTAAAAACATAATCTAAATTATAAAAGCAACAATTAGAAAAGTTATAGTTAGTTACTACTTACTCTGCACAAATACATAAACAAAAACAGAAAATTAGTTAAACCAAGAGGTTATAGACATTATAACTAAAGCAAAAGCTTTGATAAAGCATCTGAGCATATTTAATTATTTAACTAGTTTCAAATATATAAATAAATGACTCTTTCATATGCTAAGTACGTTATTCACTAGAACTATCACTGTCATCATCATTGTCTTCAAGGTCATCGTTAAGAGCCTGCAATGTAGATTCCATATTAGACAATTCTTCCTCCTCCTCTTCTTCTTCTTCCTCCTCCTCTTCCTCTTCATCCTCATTAATGAAATCATCTCCTTGGTTGATATTAGCGTACACCACTTCATTTTCAACATCATCCCTAACTATATTAATGTCTTCATCATTTTCATTTTCATAGTTAGTAACCGGTGGAGCCACATGATCCCATAATGATTCGCTTTCATGAGTATCTTCATCATTAGGGAAATCAAAGAAGTTTCGTGGATTTGCCTTATCCAATCTGTTTCATTATGAGCAGTCACATAGAAAACTTGTTCAATTTGAGAAGCTAAAGCGAATGACTCATTGGTTCTTAACCTCCGAGTAACATTGATAGGCACTGCTTCTAAATTGTCTTTTTTAATCCCTTTCCCGTCACTAAACACGTCAAACCACTTACACTTAAACAAACAACTTTGGGACTTGTTCGATTTTTTAAGGCACCATACTCTAACACAATAACCTCCTCTAAAATCCCATAAAAATTCTTTTCTCCACTTTCCTCATCGCCTCTAACCACCACATCACTATTTTGAGTTTTTCGATTTCTTTGCCGTTTTTTGGTGTGAAATATAAATCCATTAATGATATATCCATCATAAGTCACAACACGTTTCATGGGTCCTCTTGCTAAACAAAATAACTCTTCGGTAATCCTTACATCCCCATCTTTCCACAGCTTAATAATCTGTATTTCACAATAAGTAATAAAGAAAACAATCAAGAAAAGAGAAAAAAAATATATAATAGGAAAAAAAAAGGTGTGCTCACTTACCCTATTCTCAAACCACTTGTAAAAGTTAATCTTTGGAAGACTCGTATCATTTAGATACTCACTAACCAAAGAAATTAAGGAACTAGCGCTTATTCAATTAGCTGCCCTGCTCTTCTTTCTTTATTTCCTCACTGAGCTCTCTCCCCTCTGCCCTATCTTCATTCCGTAGATAGAATCTGGAAAATTCAATATACTATATACCTTTTTTCTTTTATAGGTAAGCGCTTAGTATAGTAGTTCGACGAGCCCTTTTTTATATACCTACCGGCCGTTATATGCTTTAAAAAAACACCAACCTGAATATTGGTAGCTTGGTCAAGAAACACTAATGTTCAGATCTTCTTTGAAGCTCCTAAGCTCCTGAACAAAAGGGGTAATAGAAGGATCTTTACAATTAAGCAAAAAAATTAATTAGTTCGTGGTTCATTATAGTCAGGTTCGTATTTGCACATGAGTTAATCAGAATGAAAGTCAATATTTATCATACTCTATTGATTCTGCTCACTCATATTACATGGGTAGTTCAAATAAAGATTCTAGTTTGCCATATTTTAAAATAAGACATGTTCTCTTATAATTAAATCTCTCTATATGTAGTCAATTTACTCATGTAATAATTAGAATGTTAAGTTCTATATTGTAAATCTGTAACAAACTAACAACAACTGAAATTATAAAAAATCAGACCCGATAGAAAACCACTTATCAAAGTAATTAAACTAATATCATTGTCCTTCAACATCCTAAAGACAATATAATTCTCACTGAATATTAAGCGAGCTAATATCCTCTAATATGCTCTCTAATAATTGATATTACACGAGCAATTATAATTCAATCAGATTCTGGGTTAATCTTACCCAACTAAGAATCCTTACAATTTCTTGGGACAAATCTGTCATCTAAGCTTCTTACATCACGCGAAACAAAATCAGGGAAATTAACCAAAACTAATAGCGTCATTGATCTAAATTGGGAAAATTAGAAGCATAGAATATTTTCAAGAACAAATTTTGCATTTCATTATTGAAACAAAACTCGAATGTCACTCGATTAAAATATAAAATAACAATTATTTTGCATCAAAATATTTTTTATTTTTTTTACAGAAAACAAAATTCGATTGATATTAACCACTATATAACTGACCCGTTAAGAGGATGCGTTGAAGCCGTTGTTATCGCCTCCCTTAACCACCGCCGGACCACCTATGAAATTAACAAACAAATTAGGGTTTGACAAAATTACAAACTAGAAAGTAATATTGAGAAAGGAAAAACTTGGATTTAGATATTGTATAAAGAAACACAATTGACCAAAAACACGCAAAAACTATAGCTCTTCAATGGCTTTTGCAAGCTCTGGTACAAATAGGGGACAGAGGAAAGGGAAGAACTGAAGTAATGAAACTGATGATGTACGGAGTTTAATATTTGAAGTTTTGGCATATTTGGGATTTTTATTAAGCGGGTTTTATTTCCGCCCAATTTTAATTGATGGGAAACGACATTAAACATCCTTTTCAGCCCAATTTAATTGGTTTGGGCAATGGGTTAAGTTATTTTGTCGCCCCAGTCATATTAATGGGCAACTATCAATAATTTCGTGGCCCATTTATGAATAAGGGCAACGCAAATCTTGGTCGTCGCCTATTATTGTACATTGGGCGACAAAATTTACCTTGTGGTCCCATAATTAGATGTTTGGGCGACGATTATTAATTTTTTCGCCCATAAATTATTAATCCGTTGCCCAAAATTGTTTTTCTTGTAGTGAAGTCGGGTTGATTTCGGATCGCCGGGTTTGTAACAGGTTGGGTTAAATTCGAGTCAAGTTAGGAGCGTGTCAGGTTGAATTCAGGTCAGGTTAGTTACAAAGTTGGGTTAAATTCGGGTTTAGACGGGATAAAACGGGTTTGGGTCGTCAATTTCGATTCAAGTCGGGTTCGGTGCAAGTTAATTAAATTGGCCGTTGTAAACCGGTAAATCGATGAGAGTTGTAAACCGGTAAATTTGTCGTTTAAAGCAAATTGAATGGTTCCACAATCCCAATTGGAATCCTGGAGGGTATTAGGGACCATGGTAAATATTTCGCCAATTTTTATTTGCGGGCGAAAAAAAATTCAAAAAATTCCAAAATTGAAGGCTAATATCCACGTTTTTTGAGAAATTTAGGAGGTTTCAGGGCCCGGGGTCGATAAGTCTTGAAATTCTATGGTATACATCTCAGGGTCATATAATGCCGTTTGGAACAATATATGATCATTATTTGTTGTCATAAATGTTCGTGGTAGGCTTAAGTAAATGAAATCGGTGTAAGTTGTAAACCGGTAAATTGGTCGTTTAAAGGCAAATTGGATGGTTCTACCCACCCAATTTGACTCCCGGAGGGTATTGGAGATCATGGTATATATTTCGGCAATTTTTATTTCTGGGCGAAAAAAAGTCAAAAAATTACTAAATTGAAGGCTAATATCCACGCTTTTTTGAGAAATTTCGAATGTTTCGAGGCCAGGTGTCGAAAAGATATGAGATTTTATTAGATACATCTCGGGGTCATATAATGACTTTTGAAACCATAAATTACCATTATATGTTGTCATAAATATTCGTGGTAGGCTTGAGTTAATGAAATAAGTGCAAGTCGTAAACCGGTAAATAGGTCGTTTAAATGGAAATAAGATGGTTCCACCCACCCAATTGAACTACCGTAGGGTATTAGGGATCATGGTAAACATTTCGGCAATTTTTATTTTTGGGCGAAAAAAGTAAAAAAAATTCCAAAATTGAAGGTTAATATCCACGCTTTTTGAGAAATTTTTTAGGTTTCGGGGCCCGATGTCGAAAAGCTTTGAGATTTTTGGGGATACATATCGGGGTCATATAATGCTGTTTTTAAACCATAAATGATCATTATATGTTGTCAAAAATGTTCGTAGTAGGCTTGAGTTAATGAAATCGGTGTAAGTTGTAAATCGATAAATTCGCCATTTAAAGGCAAATTGAATGGTTCCACCCACCTAATTGGACTCCCGGATTTTATTTGGGACCAAGGTAAACATTTCGGCATTTTTGATTTAGAGGCGATAAAAAGTCAAAAAAATAAAAAATTTAAGGCTATCTATATCCACGCTTTTTGAGAAATTTTGGAGGTTTCGAGACCCGTTATCGAAAATCCTTGAGATTTGAGATTTTAAGAGATACATCTTAGGGCCATATAATGCCGTTTGGAACCATATATGATCATCACATGTTGTCATAAATGTTATTAGTAGGCTTTAGTTAATGAAATCGGTGTAAGTTGTAAACCAGTAAGTTGGCCGTTTAAAGGCAAATTGGATGGTTCCACCCAGCCAATTGAACTCCCAGAGGGTATTAGAGACCATGGTAAACATTTTGGCAATTTTAATTTCCGAGCGAAAAAGGTTAAAAAATTCCAAAATTAAAGACTAATATCCACGCATTTTGTGAAATTTTGAAGATTTCGGGACTGGTTGTCGAAAAGTCTTGAAATTTTAGGGAATACATCTTGGTGTCATATAATGCCGTTTGTAACCATATACTCCCTCCGTTTCAAGTTACTCGCAACAATTACTAAAAATGGGCGTTTCACATTACTTGCAACAAGTTATATTATTTCCTTTTATAGTAAGTTTTTTTGTGTGAAATGTCCATATTGCCCTTAAATATTTGTGCTAATGAGTTTTGTTATTTTATAAGTACAATTACTTAGTACTTAATCTATTCAATTAACCTAACCATTCCCACCAAAAATTAACCCCCCTAACTTATTTCTTCTGAATTTATCCAACTCCCCAACTACCTCATTCATTATTTTGCATTGAATTGTTCTTGATTATGCTGCCCAGTTTGAACAAATACTGGAGAATTCTCCAGAATTCCCTCATAAACCCTGGATCTACTTTCGTATTCCCTCTTCTCTCTCCTCTATCATTTTGCGATTTTCTCTGATTCTCTCTCTGAAACCCTAACCAAATCCAAAATGAGTTCCATCCCAAATGAGAAGAAGTCCCCTTGTCGCAAAAAAGAAGACGGTGATTCTCAGTCTACGTCGTACAAATGTCATCGCGGCACTGGAATCATGAAACCAGTTTGCTGCTGCTCCGTCACCTTTTCTTGTTATCATCGGGGGAAAATTAGGGCTAAAATTGAGCCTATATACTCCATTGATGACGAGGATGATGTTGTTGTCGAAGAACCACCAAAACCTAACGCTGATGAGGCTGGAACTGGTCCAGATCTAGGGGCCGGTGGTTCTTTGGCTGTGAATGAAGGGGTTGCAGATCAGGACAACCCTTCTGAGGAGTCAGATCTGGTGGTGACAGGGTAAAGTCGTATCCCCTAATAAAAAATAAATACCTAAATCCTCTAACTAAAGCAGATAGGGAAGTAGGGTCGATCTCCATAGGGAAACAAGTCTTTCTATTCCTAATTAATTAAAATAATCTAGATTATGAAGTAACCAACATTTATATTTGAATAAGAAACTAAACTACTAAGATTGAGAATAGGGAGAAAACAATATATAAAATTATCTAGGGCATAGGTTCACCAATAAATAATATTCCAGGGTAAAACATAGTAATCAATCATTGACATTGCATAAATAACATGATTAACAGGCTCTCGCAATTTATTAATCAACATAGATCTAACAGGCTCTCGCAATTTACTAGATCTAAGTTCTTATTGAAAATAGCCTTTAATATCAAATTAACATCTGCTCGATTCATCAATTCAATATTGCTATACTTTTACAAGCCGTAATTGTAAAGCGTTAAAACAATTCAATAAGAAATTATCATGCAATATCAAAAATCAATAGTAGTCAATCATCAATGCATCAATTAACCAGATTGTAAAGGGCTTTCGCTGCGTATTACAATCACAGAATTAATCTACCGGTATTAAATCTCATCTCTCGAATCTCGACTTAACCATTTATAAATTAACCTTCCTATTGAAATTAGACCTAAACGTCAATTCTCATCTCTCGAATCTCGAATAAATGTTGTCAAACTCATGCATAAAAGATAGGCCTAATCTAGTCACAGAGCATTAAATCAATCAATAGGAAATTAATCTAGCATTGATAATTAACAACAATAAATTACCCCTTCATATTATTTATGGATCCCCATAAACCCTAGAAATAAAACTACTCACACATATTAAAAACTAAACTAATCAAAGCAATAAAATAAGTCATGATGAAAGGAATAAAATAAACAACTAAGATTAAGAGAAGAGAAATCGTTACCAAAATAAATCTGGAATTAAGAGTAGATTAAGAACAAAGGTTTAAGAGAAAGAAAATCTAAGAGAACTATTAAGAGAGTAAAGAAAGAGTAAAAGGAAAGAGAGAGAGAGAGAGAGAGAGAGAGAGAGAGAGAGAGAGAGAGAGAGAGAGAGAGAGAGAGAGAGTAATCACCGAACTCAGTTTCTCTAATTTAGTCTTGGGCTTTAAATATTCGGTCATAAAATACAATCGGACTCCAATGCTTTGTAGTGGCTCAAAAAGCTAGAGAATTGTCATAATTATGAAAATTCCTGCAAAATAATATCATCTCTACAAAAACACTAGAAAACGTATATTAGTAATAAAAATAGCTCCGTAGAGCTCAAATAAGCACAAATATGACCGTGGGACCAGGAATAAAAATATATATATAATAGACTTATCAGGTGGTTATGAGAAGGAGCGAGGTCGTAGTTGTTGTGGTTGAGGTGCCTGATTCCCCTGAACCCATTACTGAAGTTCTTCCCGAGTCCCTGAAGCGTACTGCTGGTGCTGGGTCTTCTACAGGGAACAAAAGGGTGCGTTCTGTGTTGACGGAGGACTGCAGCAACGGGACCCTGATTATATGGCTTGGTTGAGAGAGAAATACCCTCATGACTTCCCTCCCAGTAACTGATCTCGCAGCGTAACGATTCTTCTCTCTTTCTGTTTACTTATAATAATCTTAGTTTGTTGATTTGATGTTTTTGATTGATGAGTTACTGTATGAATTTGTGTGGTTAGGGTTTGGGTTATTTTGCTGATTTGATGTTTGTGTTATATCATGTTGGTTAGGGTTTGTGTTGGTTATGCTCTGGTATCTGATGTTGCTTAGTGTTTGTGTTGAATATGCTCTGCTATATGTTGTTGCTATGTGTTTGTGTTGTTTATGCTCTGGAATTAGTTGTTGATACATGTTTTTGTTGGGGATGGTCTGATGGTTAGGGTTTGTGTTGGTTATGCCCTGGAATTAGTTGTTGATACATGTTTTTGATGGTGATGCTCTGATGGTTAGGGTTTGTGATGGTTATGCCCTGGAATTAGTTGTTGATACATGTTTTTGATGGTGATGCTCTGATGGTTAGGGTTTGTGTTGATTATGCTCTAGTAT